TCTCTGGCTCGAATGGTTCATGAGAAACGAATAAAGGCCATTTAGTTATCTCTGGAATGATGTAAAAAGGAGCGTTCTTGCTCATTTTGCTTCCGAGAAACATGCAGAACGAGACGGAAAACATGAAATTTTGCAATAATCTTGCGCCACCCGTGCACAAAACAACGATAATTTTTCTAATTTGATAGATAACAGAAGACTGTAGTTTTTCTACATCCCCCTCCCTGACTTTAAAGCTGGATCTGCCCCTGGTCCCCAAATGCTGCACATCCTACATTGAACTCAAAATCTTGAATGAAACTGTAAACTTCGCTTTGAATTTCCATGAGTCGGAAAACTTCTACAGTCGCTGCTTTTGGCCCCCGATTTTGGCCATTATCACCACTTGAAAGCGACGCATCGAAAGAATAGCGCGCATAGTCGTTCGTAGGGAAAATTGGAAATTTGAAGCTAATTTACTGGATGTAGAGCGCTATTGTAGGTCAGGATCAAAAAAGGACATGTGGAACACTTGCCATTTGAGGAACTTGCCAAAAATTGTACTCGCCCTTTCAACAAGTCTCTACTTATTTGCCTGTTCATTGAGCTCGAATCCAGCTGGTTATTTTAAAAAACGCTTTTGCCGCCGACTTTTTGAAGCTCTAATGCAAACACATACGATGAAATTCGAATGGTTCCTCAACTATTTTTAAACCATTTGCTTTAAGAATAACGAATCCTATTCGAAGTTACGAAGGCACGTTGTGTCGCTGAATATTCTCAAATGCTCTAGAACTTTCGCGGTAGAGGATGAAAATTGATCAATCGTGGGGTGGCGGGAGTTAGAAGAGCAAGCTAATATAGCGTTGACTCATATGGAAAAATCAATGAGAGAAAAGTGATAGAAAATCCCATTTTCCTAAGAAACACCACTAAAATCAAGAGAGATAGACTTTCGAGGCCATTCCTTAAAACTAATGGGTTTTTCGGGTTTTTAGGCCGCCGTTCGGTAGAATTTCTTCTTGACGTTTCGCAAGCGCGAGTGGCTTGCATCTTCAGAAGTGGTTTGCTTGAACGCTTACACTGATCCGATCGGAACAGTTTTACCACTAAAATCGTCGTTAAGAAAAAAGTCGTTATTCGAAAGAAGTAAAAATTTGTGGAAAAATTAAAAAAAAAAACAGTCGCACTTTTGTATGCAAAAATGTTGTGGCAAGTGAGTTTAAAACCAAATAAAAAAATGATCAAAAATTAAAGCGAGAGAAATGCGCTCTACTTGTTCATGCAGAACCGTACCGGGCGGGACTTCCTCGACTGACTGCAGTTACAGATCCGATTGACGAAGCAGATGAAAGACCCCGCTGTCACAGTTTGTCACTTTTTGTTTACGTTCTCAATCTAAGCATGTTATTTTCCTTTATTGCTTAATTTTGAATTACTCAATGTCCGATAACTGGTAAGCGAAGACAACAAGCTCTGACTCAATAGCTGCCACTAGGCTTTGGAAAAATATGTGCTAGTCCTACGTACATGTGAGTAAAATGTGATAACCTATCAAGCTCAAATGTTGAACTTTTTTCTTCACTTAACTTTAGCTCTGATAGTGTGGTATTTTGTTCGAGAACACCAGCCCCATCGTTGTTGAGTTAGTTTAATTCAGCAGCTCAAACCTGTCGCAAGTATGACCATCAACAACTTGATTTTACGATTCTACAAGCATCCAGGATTTACACCGAGCAAACAGAAGGAGGTGTTAGTGCAGCTCCAGAAAGTTTCCGCAGCTGTTGAAGACCTAGATACAGAACTGTGTTATCATGTCGAGGTCAGCAAGCCTTTGACTTCAGCGGAACTGAAGACTTTGCAATGGATCCTGCAAGATTCGTTGGCACCAGCCAAACTATCCGAGAAAAGCTTGGTAAAACCCTCTGCCAATCAAGTGCTGATCGAGGTGGGCCCCAGATTCAACTTCTCCACGGCCTACTCCACAAATGCTGTGTCAATTTGCCAAAATGTGGGGCTAAGCCAGATCGTTCGCCTGGAAGTCTCCAGAAGATATTTACTTAATCACAGACCAAATGTGCAAGTTGCCCCAGAACTATTCACCAAATTGGCATCTTCCCTTTTCGATCGCATGACCGAATGTCTATACACTCCCGAGAACCTGCCGAAAAACAGCTTCAACGAAAAGCTCAAGAAAAAGGAAAACATCAAGGAAATCGACATACTGCAAAGAGGAGCCGATGCTCTGAAAGAAATAGACCGTGAACTAGGTCTAGCTTTCGATGAAGCAGATCTGGCATACTACACGAATCTTTTCAAAAATGTCTTGAAGAGAAACCCCACAAATATTGAGTGCTTCGATTTGGCACAGTCGAACAGCGAGCACAGCAGGCATTGGTTTTTCAAGGGGAAAATGATTGTGGATGGTGTGGAGTATGAAGAATCGCTGATTGATATGATTATTGAGACGCAGAAACACTCAAACCCCAATAATGTTATCAAGTTCAGCGACAACAGCAGGTAAGAAAAAAGTTGCCACATGTTAAGTGAAAACTAAACGAAAACTAACGCATATCCAGTTTTTAGAGCATTGTTTAGTCAATATTTGAAATTGAAATCGTTGCGTAACACGTCAATAATTACAGGCGATTGAAAGCTTTAGCAAAGTGATAAGAAACAATCAGCATAGTTTTGATTTCATGCAACGAATTAATCAGTATGTGTTAACAATTGTTGTGTGCACAGTTGCTAAGCCATTTTAAAAGATAAGCTTAATGATCTTATGTGGAAATTCGTTGTAACGGATTTATTGACGAAGCTTAGACAAAAACAAGTCAAAGCTTTAGGCAAATATTTATG